GAAGGTGGAGAAGCGCCATGTGTCTAACATCCAGCAGCTCCGTGATGTCATTATGGAGGAGTGGAAGATGATCCCAGCAGCAACCTGTGCAGCTCTGGTGAATTCCATGCCCAGGAGGATTAAGGCAGTGCTAGATAACAATGGTGCTCACACAAAATATTGACACTTTGGACACAGTTTTGACATATTCACTTGGTATACTCACTTTTGTTGCCAGTTATTTAGACAACAATGGCTATATGTTGAGTTATTTTTAGAGGACAGTAAATCTGTACTGCTATACAAGCTGCACATTGACTAGTCTAAAGTATATCCAATTTTAATTTCTATAGTATTGTCCCTTGACAACATATAATAAAATGGTTGCTGAAATGTGAGGGGTGTACTCACTTTTGTGAGATACTTTATATACAGATTACATACATATTACACAATTTTCTTTTTCTTTTTTTTACAGTTTTTAAAGATATAACACCATGAATACGTATATATATAACAATTTATTAACAGTGGTTGTAATTATTATTAGCAGTGGTGATATCCATATATATCTTATTATTTTACCACCACCATACTTCACCGTAGGGAAGGTGTGTCTTGAGGCATAATAAGTGTTTGGTTTGCGCCACACATAGTGCTTTTTGGCCATCTTGGTCTCATTTGACCACAAAACCTCCCAAATCACAGCTGGGTCACTCACATGCTTTTTGGCAAAATTCAGAGACGTGCTTTCAGATGGTATTTTTTGAGTAACGGCTTCTTTCTTGCCACCCTCCCATACAGGCCAGAATTATGCAGTGCTCTTGATATGGTTGACTGGTGCACCATTTCTCCACTTGCAGCCGCTGAATTTTGTAATCGTGGGACTCTCTGTGGCTTCTCTTACAAGTCTCCTTTTTGTTTGAATGCTGAGTTTTGAGGGACAGCCTTTTCTTGGCAATGACTGGGTGGTGTGGTGGAAATTCCACTTCCTGATTATTGATCAGACTGTGCTGAATGGGATATCCATTCATTTGGATATTATTTTGTACCCTTTCCCTAATCTATACATTTTTATTTTATCTCTAACATCTGTGGAATGCTCTTTGATCTTCATTTTCCTTCACATTCACAGCCTGACCAGTGATCCTTTAACAGTGGGTTATTTATCCAGAAATTGTGATAGCATGTTTAATTTTTCACAGGAGGATATCAATGGTAAAGTAATTGTGTTCTTGTAAAGGCAATTTCTTTCATCTGTGTATCCTGGCAGCTTCCATAGCACAGAATACTTACGTTTTTTATTTTTCCTAAAAATATTTCCAAACAAAAACACAATGTCAACTTACGATAATTGATTTTGAGTTTCAGTGTTTTCAAATCAAATATCCATCAGAATGAAATTTCAGTGTACCATTTATAATCTGAAAGAATTGGTCAGGGGTCTGAATACTTTTGCAAAGCACTGTATATATACGCACACACAAAATAAATACTTTTATACCTTTATTTAGCAATGCATTTAGCAAAGACATTTATAATGTTGGAAAATATTTCTATTTCAAACAAATGCTGTTCTTTTCAACTTTTTAGAGACAGATTCTAAAAAATATTAAGCATTATTATTAATAATAATAATTGTATTATTATTATTAATATACAGTATATAGGCCAACAGGATTCAAAAATATAAATTAAAAGTCAAATTTTATCATATTAATGCATTGTGAAAAAAAGAAAGAAAAACATATAAGGTGAAAACTATATACCCACAGGCCCTTCGGCGCTCTCACCTGAACCCATTAGCATGCCCAGCACGACAGAGCCCCGAGACCGCTCTGCTTCATAAAGAGGTGGAAAGCAGGACCGTACACTCAACTGTCTGCTGTCTCCAGCAAAAACTCCTCTACACAGGCTGTCTATGGCTATATTTGCCAACTGCATGGAGAGATACAATCAGGTGGGTTGAATCAGTTTCAGATTCTCTCCTGTCACTAAACATTTGAGACTGATTTGTCATGGCAGCAAAGCACGTCGTACAGGACAAGGCCAACATGGATCGTTTAACAGGTCATTGAGCCTCCATGCTAAATCTCACCTCAGAACCCAGTCGTCTGGACACAAATGCATGCACTGATTCATCCTCCTCTGTCCCTTTCCTGATCAGTATCTCCTTCAGAATGCTCTGAATTATGGGTCGAGAGAAAGGAGGGATGGTGCGGACAACCCCACTAGAGGAAAGGAAAACAAGATAAGAAATATTTATGACTTCAAATAGGCAACTGCTCGCACAGTGGAGTTTCCTCTCACCCAGGTCCTGATGGCATCTTGTGCAGTTGTCCCTTCACATACAGGAAGCGGTTCTTAGACGCCACATGATCCTTTGTAACAGGCAGGATTTCAGACTCAAGACCCAACTCCGAAACCTGCACAAGAAAACAATAACTAGAACAGTGTTCCTGCTTCATAAATGAGGTCATTTAAGGTCAGTATGATTTTATTTTTAAAGAAATTCTGTTATTTAGCAAGGAAACATTAAATTGGTCAAATGTGACAGTAAAGACATGTATAATGTTACAAAAGATTATTATTTCAAATTTATAGTGGTCTTTTGAAGTTTACGCCTACATCCTACGTAATCCGCTGGAACGCCACTCTCTCGTGAACGCGTGTACAAACAGTTAGCGGAAGCTAGAAATTATGGTTTATAAAGTTTGTACAAGATATTTTTCTTGTACAAACGCATTGCTTCACTTCAGGAGGACTTTATTAACCCTCCCGGAGCCATGTGGAGTACTTTTCATGATGGATGGATGCAGTTTTTTGGGCTTCAAAATCTTAACACCCGTTCATTGCCATTATAAAGCTTGGAAAAGCCAGGACATTTTTTAAAATAACTCCGACTGTCTTCGTCTGAAAGAAGAAAGTCATACACAACTACGATGGCTTGAGGGTGAGTAAATCATGGGGTAATTTTCATTTTTGGGCGAACTATTCCTTTAACTATTTACTGAACATAGTTTTTTTTTTAACATATTGCTGTAGCCTCCCTATTTTTTAAAAGCAATAGGCCATGAAAGTTTGAGAGTTACAGTAAGTTTTTAGGTACAAACCAATGCTTTTGTTAAGTTGGTGGTAACTCAATTTCCAAACCAATTATAATATCAGAGATTACATTAATGTGATCATGTGAATTGAAATTCTTGAATTCATACAGATTTCTCCATGACCATGCACATCACTTCACACATGCTGCATACCATATTCAAAGTGTTCCGGCCGACAGCACCTGCAGGTCGCACCCCTCGTGGTCCCTGTTCAAACACAGCCCCGTCATCCCTCCGTATGGAGCTCAACCAACCCCCGCATCTCCCAGATCTCTCCAGCAGCACAATCTACATCAGCAGAGGTGGAGTGTGGTGTACAGTGTTAAAGGAAATTTGTTATTATTTTGACTTAAAATGTATTCTGACCTTCATGTTTAATGTAGCAATGAAAGCATATCTATTAAAATCACAAATTCACATTGAAAACCGGCAACAGCTTCAGCAGCAATGACCTTTGTTGCTTCATTAATGATTACAAGCTGGCTAGATCGCGAGGCTTCAAACCAGCTCTGAACTATGAGAAATGGAGCAGGGAAAGAGTGCTTTTTTAGGAAAGTTGCTTCTGTGGTGGTAAATTAACTCTTTTCAATTTTGATCCTAAAAAATTATTTGTGTACAAATGAAAATATGAAAATTAAGCTGAGCTAAATGTTCCACATTAATTCCCTTTGCGACAAGGGGTTCTTGGCATGAGAAGACCCCTGATCTAAATGATAAAAACATTAAGATGGATTAAACTTTTCAACTGAAGAGCCTTTGATCTTAACATTTATATCTACCCTACCGTTTAAAAAGATTTTTCTGAAAAGAAGTTAATACATTTATTCAGCAACAATAACTGAAGGTGAAGGTGACTTGAAGGTGACAGTAAAGACATTTATAATGACACAAAATATTAGAATAATATCTGAATGATTTCTAACACTGAAGACTGGAGTAACAGCTGCTGAAATTTGCATCACAGTAATAAATTCCATTTTAAAATACATTAACATAGAAAATAGTTATTTTAAATTGTAATAATATTTCACAATATTACTGTTCGGTGTATTTTTAAATGGTAGTGTATATGCAGATTGACTAAAGATTTTTACGGAAATTATTAGCTGATGCTGTACCTTGGAAACGTTAGGACTCTTGCTCAGATGATGACAGGCCGACAGACCACCAATCCCCCCACCAAGCACAGCTACGACCTTCTGCATTCAGCTCCAAACACTTCCACACCTGCAACAAAACTAACCAAAGTCTAAAACGACAATGCCTGATCAGCCAGATCATGAGTGAATAATATAACAAGCATTCTTACACTAAAGCTACTACTAAAGCATGCAACATGTCCTTTCCTAATCCAAGAAAGAAAATAAACATTAAAGTTGAGTCGCATTTAGCCACTCGGTCATACTGGACATTGAATGCATCCTTGACAGTTAACTAGACTTGAAAAATAATGATTAGGAAGGGTTTTCGACATTGATATAGGGCCCTATGGGCTCGGATGGGAGTAACAGGGTGGTGGCCCCTGATAAGGTGAAGCTGCTGTCATTTATCATATTCAAACAAAAGAGGGAAGAAACATTTTTCCTCCAATACCAACTGCCCATTATCTGTTAACTGGTCAGAGTTAATCTTAAATATGTCGAGTGATAATATTATGGAGTCTGACAGGATATTTTACTTGATGGTAACACAAGAGTCTCATTATAAAACAGAAACACGAGAATCCTGAAATTATGAATAATATAACAAGCATTCTTACACTAAAGCTACTACTAAAGCATGCAACATGTCCTTTCCTAATCCAAGAAAGAAAATAAACATTAAAGTTGAGTCACATTTAGCCACTCGGTCATACTGGACATTGAATGCATCCTTGACAGTTAACTAGACTTGAAAAATAATGATTAGGAAGGGTTTTCGACATTGATATAGGGCCCTATGGGCTCGGATGGGAGTAACAGGGTGGTGGCCCCTGATAAGGTGAAGCTGCTGTCATTTATCATATTCAAACAAAAGAGGGAAGAAACATTTTTCCTCCAATACCAACTGCCCATTATCTGTTAACTGGTCAGAGTTAATCTTAAATCTTAAAATATAAATATATTTTAAATATGTAGAGTGATAATATTATGGAGTCTGACAGGATATTTTACTTGATGGTAACACAAGAGTCTCATTATAAAACAGAAACACGAGAATGCATCCTGAAATTAACACGTATTTCTTGTAGCTAACGTTACTTAGAAAGAAGAGGCTTATAAAAAAAAAACAATGACAATGTTTGCAGACTTTTTAACATACTTCACTTGCCTTTGCTGACATACAGTATAAACAGGAAGACAAAATGTGGAAATGTTGCCTAAAACCCAGAACGACCGCTAACTTAATAAAAATAAATTACATTCATAAAAATGGAGTAAAATAATTTGTTACCTGCATATAACTGTGTAATTTGGACAGCGCGGCTTCTGCTGTTACTTAGTTACACAAGAGTCTTGTGTAGTAGTGAAGCGACAAGCGAGCGGCAACAGTGATGATAAAAGAGAACGAGTGTTTCAAAATAAAAGTCCTATCCCGTTTCCGCACTTACTCAGCCAGCATGTAATGGAATACTGGACCACTAGATGACAGAAGAGACCATGCCATTTTCCTCGGATAATGACTGTTTTTAGGTCTTTTACTACATCGTTGGCTTTTTCAAGGGTTAGTTCACCCAAAAATGAAAATTCTGTCATTAATTACTCACCCTCATGTCGTTTCAAACCCGTAAGACCTTCGTTCATCTTCGGAACACAAATTAAGATATTTTTTATGGAATCTGAGAGCTGTCTGTCCCTGCATATACAGCAACGCAACTGAAATGTTCTCAAGTCCAGAAATGTAGCAAGGAGATCTGTAAAATAATCCATGTGACATCAGTGGTTCATCCGCAATTATATGAAGCTACGAGAATACTTTTTGTGCGCAAAAGAAAAAAAAAAAACGACTTTATTCAACAATTCGTCTCCTCCGCATCACCCTGGTGCCATTTTGGAGAGTATCCGCTGGACGTAAACAACGTATGCTGTTCTGTGTCAGCTGCGTCATCAAACATATCTTAATTTGTGTTCCGAAGATGAACTAAGGTCTTACGGGTTTGAAACCACATGAGGGTGAGTAATTAATGACAGAATTTTCATTTTTGGGTGAACTAACCCTTTCAGTCAAAATGACTGCCACAGATGTGTTGCATCTTTGGAGTCTTGTATTAAAAATATACCTCGTTTTTTTAATTATTAAAAAATTTAAAACAAAATAAAGTTCAAATTGAAGAATTAAACAAATTAAAAAATAATACGGACTGCAATTGACCTTACAGAACTTGGCTAATAAAACTTAAAATCCCATAAACACTTCAATGGCCAATCTTCATAAACAAGGCCTATTTAAAATTTTCAGAACAAAATCTAGTTCAAAACAAAGAACAAAATCAAAAATGTTTAAAATTAATTAAGTATAATGTAGAATTACAGTAAAACAATACCTTATAATCATAAGAAGGGGTGAGCCACTGGCTCAACTTACCCCAGGACTTTTGGCTCAAATTATCCCACTCCTATACCATTTTAATAAACTTGTATCATTCAGCAGTTTAGAGCTAACATCATGCTAATCAGTATAGCCTCATATTATAACACCATATTATTGTCTGTAATTGTTTAGCCTAGACACAAGAAGCATGAGTCCTTGAACATACAAAAATCATTTTGAACAGCAGAAAACTTTTTTTTAAACTTAAATGTACCAATTATTCCAAAGACCTCTCTCAATTATGTGGTATATTTGTGGTGACATCACCAATTTTGTTTAAGGGGTGGCTCAACTTCCCCACAGGCTCAAATCACCCCGCTCTCCCCTGTATTTGTTTTTATTTAATTTTAGACACATCTTTGCTGCTTTTTATTTATTTATTGCTATTCTTACAGAATTTATTTCGCTGTTGACAAGTACTGTTGCTGACAAATAAATGTTTGCATCATGGTGGATGACTGTGGGTGATTTTTACCTTGACAGGGTTTAGTTAAGTACTTTTTTCTTGACAGTTTAATAATTAGATGCCCAATACGTACATTAACTGTAGAGAATATCAGTGATTTTCTGTGATTTATGAAATACAATGTAAAAATAGAAAATGTGAGAAACAAAACTCTGACACCGAGTGTGTGTGTACTAGGTTTCACTAGCAGGCCATAGCATCTTTGTGTCACTGAGAAGCTAATGGACCGTGTTAATTTAATCCCATGTGACACAAAGAGGCCTTGGAGCTCCCTGCGGTTCAAGAGACGGCCCTGTTGCTTTTGGTATTGCAGAGACCCCTTTGACCACACGTCATTGTTCACACTCACACATACCTCAACTCTGGGGTTGTAGGGGTACCTACCATAAGACTATAAGAACCTCATAGACCCTGTTACCTAAAGCACATCACTTCAGCCTAAACGGAGATCAGGTTTGGTAGACTGATCATGTTTCGTAAGCATGTGGAAAGTAGCTTGGTAAATGAAGCCCTCATGTGGACCTGCTTTGAATTTTAATTCAAACACGTAAAGTTCTTTTAAGTTTCATAAACAAATTTGTCATGGATTGTTTTCTTGCAGGCTTTTAGTGTGTCATAATTCACAGTGGAAAATGTGGTAGCGTTTATTAATTTTCTCAACCTGATTACCATGCAATAAATTACAAAAATGCATGTGTGCAAAAACAAGAGGTGATCTGTTTTAAAGTCTGATTTATTGTTTGCAGAAAAAGGTTTTTCTAAACAGTCTGGTGATGATAAATTCCCAAGAGATGTTCATTTTTCTTAGCTCAGCGACCATCTTATTTGGAAAAACATTTGCTGTGTATTTCATGCATTACGGTACAGTGCATTTAATTAGCATCAAGAGAATGGCTTCTCCTGTAAAGGAACCACCTTATCTTACCACATTACATTCAGTTGATACTACATATTTACTATCTGAGCACCATTAGGCCAGTATGAAAGTCTGTATGAAAGTCTCCATTTCTACAGTGTTGATCAAGCACCATGAGGATAACTAAAGCATGACTGCTTATGCTGGTCATAGTCTCTGCTCAGAGTGCATGGTATGTCCTTGCGAGGTCCTCCTGTGGATGATTGCAGGCAGAGAGCGTGTGCTGGCGGGGCTGTAGGTGGGAGACTCGTAGACACAGTATTTACAGTCCTCCCATCTCACCCTGTGCCATACGGTGGTGATTTGGCCACTTTATAGAGGAACACGTCATAGTGGACTAACGTGTTGGGCTTGGGTAGGACTTTGGAATTTTTGGTAAGGTGAAGCTCCACGTCAATTGTCATTCGTCTCTGCAAAGAGAACACACGCAAAGAGAGGTGCACAAAGCACATTTCCATTGGCACACAATATATGCGTTCAAATGTGTCCAATAAAGACATGATCATCTTCCCTCCAATCAAATTAGTGTACAATTTAAATGTGAATCCCATGAAAGCTGTCAAAAATGTCTCATTTCATATCAAACCCCATCACCACCAAAAAAAAATAAAAATAAAATAATAATAGAAATTTGACATTATATTTTGCTTAGGAAATTTCTATTTTATGACCATCAATATTTTATGTGACATTTTGAATTTTGTATACATAAATTATTTTCATTACAGTTCACTCACAATGGAATGGAATGCAGTAATTTTAAAATGCAGATATATACAGTATCGTGCATAGATATAGATATATGTGAACTAAAAAATAAAAATAAAAAATACTTTCATGCATTTTACCCACAGCGACTACATTGCATTCAAGGTTTAAATTTGTATCAATTCATACATTCCCTGGGGATCAGACTCTTGATTTCAATGTAATTAAACTTATAAAATAAAATAACATAAAACGATAGTGCATTAACGTGACCACATTTTTAAAAATGACTGCATAATAAATAATAATAAATACAAAAATGTCTTAATAAATCTAAATAATAAAACAATTGTCTGGATGCATTATAATAAAGGCAACAGCAAAATAAAATATTATTTTATAAAATTTTTTAAAATTATTTTATAATAAAATATCATTATTTTAGGGTGAAATGTGACATGTTTCCGTGAGATTCACTTTCCTGCACCTGCTTCCTGACCTCACATGCTGTTCAACATCAAAAGGACGTGCCAAACTCAGCAGGACAAATCACACTTGGGGAAAAGGGGGGTGTGGGAGTATTTTAGCTTTTGGGACATAATCTGTCAGGCCCATTTCCATTATAAAGGCTTCTCAGCCCACATTCCAAAGGCCTCATTAATAATCTTAAGCATTCCTTATTAGTTCAGCGTGTTCTGATGAACCCACACAATCTAAATCTCCTAAACCAATGCGCTGAACGTTTGTGTGTGTGTGCACGCTTGTGTCCTCGAATTTCTAATGGCCAATGGGTGAACTCTGTCTGAGATCTGTATATCATCGTTCCACCGTATCTGTAGCCAATGGGGAAGCAGGGATGCTGCATCCATGTACCCATGCTGGTGGAGGCGGATGTGGCCACACCTCAGTATGAAATGGTCTCTCTCATACAGCACTTGACGCAGAAGGTAAAACAGATTCATTTATAATATACATACTGAGTTAATTATGTGCCAGCTGGAGAACTGCTTTCTGTCACATTTAGGTCAAGCTTTATGGGTGTAAAGAAGCAAGGAGAATTGAAAGTAAATTTTGGAACAACAGTATATGATGTAGTGCACTTCTGATTCTACAGTACAGTCTAGATCTTGTTAAGTGGCCCCAAAAGCACTTGGAGACCTTATTTTAATGTATAAATGCCATTGCATTAAATATAACAAACCAAATGTCATCTGAAAACAAATGATATCCGACTTTTTGTCAGATCTAACCGAACTATTTGTGTAATTTCTCTTAAACATATATATAATCTTAATTAATATGTATAGCTATAATTTTAATTAATATAAAATACCTTAATTTTGAATTATAAGTCAACTGTTATTTATTTATATATATTATAAATATAGTACATTATATATATATATATATATAATGTAAATTACACTAAATAAAACAGTTGACATTCAAAATTCAATAAAATACAATATTGTATAAATAATATATAATATAAAAATATGTATAACTATGTACGTGTATAATAATAAGGCAACTGTTTTATTACAATATTACATATATAAAATAAAACAGAATAGAATAGAATGGAATAGATAAAAAAAAAATCTTTATTTTGAATTGTTGTTTTAAATAAATCAGTTGATTTATTTAGAATAATTAACATTTTATAGTATATATTACAGTTTGGCTTAAGAGTCCAAATATGTTTGAGGCTACTTGTATGTAAATTAGAGTTTTGTACATAAAAGAGAGCTTTTTCCAAGTAAATGCAGAATCTTCTTTGTATTTCGCTGTACACTGTTCCACCTGAGTGACAGAAAATGAAAGCAGAGATTGACCAGCCTCTCCTAAACCTAGCAATGACCCATACTATCAGAATGTGTTTCTATGATGATTACACCCCCAGAATTGCAATTGCATAAGGATCAACACGGCAGAAAAAGGAAGGGGTGGGAGAGAAAGCAGTGAAAAATGAGCGAGAGAGAGAGAGAAAAGAAAAGGAATTCTACAGAGGTGGTGAGATCGAGATGGTTTTGATTCAACAAAACTTGAGGCAGGAGTGCCTGGGGACATTAGTACTGTGTCCTTTTTCAGAGTGCCAGAGACTGAGGATTTTTATTTTTAGTGTGTGTAGCACATGTTTTTTTTATACTTGTGTGTATGCTGTTGTCATGGCAGCGAGCAGGAATTAGATTAGGAAAAAGGCTGTAATAAGTGGAGCTGCCACTAACTCAGATTTGGCCAAAACTAAGCAAAGTGCTCTTGAGCACTGAAGTAGGAACAAGTTTCACATACTGAGTTTCACAGACAATGTAACCATATAGACTCGACGTGATTATGTAGGTCTGTATGTTCCCGGATCTGATTTCATAGGCATCTGTGGTGCATTGAAAAGGTACTCATGTCACTCTGTTAATGAGAGGATGAAGTGGTCCCTATTATTCATTATAATACAGATTCATACAAAGAGAAAAACCAGAGGCCCTTGAGGTACTGAGAACACAGGACTGAAAAAAATCTGAAAAAATAAAATACTATTATTTAAAATTACAATAAAAATACTGGCTGACTTGCACTGCTAAATGACAAAATTGTCTCAGCGGTAAGTCTGCTCCCTATTTGCTGGCGGTCTCAATTGAACTTGTTCTCTATTAGCGTGGTTAGGGGAAGGAGTCTTTGCTCTAGGGCTGAAACAAACCTCATCGTCAAAAACTCATAAGAGGAAACCACAATAAAGAACCTGTGATTCATTTATAAGAGAAAGGAATCTTGGAGTGTCAGTTTGACAGCTGCACCGACTGCAGAGAGATAGAGCCCATTCATCAACAGGCTTTTTTTTTTCAAACCTCAGGTTTTGACTTTTTAAATGGGGTCTTATATGAGGATGCTATATAAACAGGTCACGTGCTGCGTTCGTCCAGTCAATGACACTGACATTGCAAATATGCAAATAACATTAACCCAGGATTTAGGAATGTACAGTATGAATTTACCCCATGAGCAGTATGAAAAGTGTAGCAAGATAACCCAGGATTGCTACCCGGGGATAGAATGACCCAGGGTTGACTATTTCAAGCCCTTGAGTGTAGCAAAAACAACTAAAGAAACTATTTATGCAGTTTTTCCCTGACAATAGATTCATAGGTTAGTATAAGCCATGCTTATTATGCAGTACTAAATTGGAAAAGGTTGAAGACCATTGCTGAGAGACATGTCTGATACAAACGGTCTAATATGAGTCTCAGCTGATCCCTATCACCTCAGAAACTGATGCAAGTGATTTTAAATTCATACCTGTCAGGGAAATAACAGACAGATGTGCATGATTTGGGGTCACCCACCTTATGACAGGCTTACCAGCTTCTGCACAACCCCGTCAGTGTGAAGGTCTAAAGTGATGCAGACCTTAGGGCAGGTATCAAAAAGCCATGCGCAACACCAAGCAAAGCAAGAGATAGTGAGTGCAAGACAGCATCCGGCCAGGGACAAAAAACGCAGGCTAGGACCACACAGGGACAAGGACTTTAGTGTTAAAAAGGTTTATTTCAACAACTGTCAGATTTTTTTCTCTTCGTAGTTTATATTCCCAAAAAAGTACAAAATAAAACAAGTACATCAAAGGATTAGAAATCACATCAAAACAAAGACACATTGTGTTTTTTTCTTTATATCAATCCAAGCATTTTTTCCATATATTTATACATACTCACTGAATTAGTCAGACGAACATCAAAACCTCTCAGTAGCTTTTTCTTTTATGACAACGTTTTATATTTTAAACCCCAAATATGTTTGACTTTTTTCTTCTTTTTTTACAATATACACCAACGCATGCCGTAATTCAGTTAGGCAGGGGTAAGTGTGTGTATATATAAGGGCTGGGTCAGGGGCGGGTCGACTACAGGGCAAAAAGACTGCAACAAGAGGCGAGACAGGAGGTGGAGACTGAGTGGGTATGAGGGGCGTTTTTTTTTTTTTTAATGTTTTCTGTCATGTGCTGATGGTGTGGTGGGTGTGGCTGCTCGTAGCGTCTGCTGCTCGATGCTTTAAGTGATCCTGGACGTGGTTGCGTGGGGTGCTTTTGTTTCTGTTCTACATCATGTTGTTCTGCAGCGAGTTTACCTCCGAAGAGTTCTCCTCGCCCAGCACCTTATGGTTCTCGTGCTTAGGGGTGAGCGAGTTCTGGATGTTCAGCGACTCGTCCTCTTTGGGTGGGGGGGCCTTCACGGGGTCCTCCAGCTTGTTCTGGGTATTAGGATCATCCTGAGAAATGATAGTCCCATGTTAGACCTCTGCAACAACCTCATATTGTTTATTACGTTTCCTGCTTTTATTAAATGTTTTTTTTATTAGATAATGTGCAACTGTATATTTGTTAAATGATTTAAAAATATATTAAAAAATTAATTAAACAAATACATAAAAATAAATAAATAATGTACTACTTTATCCAGTTACCAAAAAAACAAAACTTCATTAGTGTAGGAGATGTTACGAGGGATATTATTTATTTATTTATTAACTTTACAATTGCAAATTATCCAATACATTTTTTAAGTATTTAAAATCAATAAATAAATCATATTGTTCATTACGTCTCCTACTATAATATTTTTTTTAATTGGATAATGTGCAACTGAAAAAGTAAACAAACAAACAAATATATAAATAAATCATATCGCTCATTATATCTCCTACTACTTTAATAAAATTAAGTTTTTCAATTAGATAATGTGCAATTGTAAAGTTATAAAATTGTTCAAGTAGATAAATAAATACACATTACATTGCTCATAATGTCTCTTATAATGAATTGTTTTTAAAAGGATACTGTGCAATTGTAAAGTTAATAAATAAAATATAAATCATATTGTTCATTAGGTCTCTTACTACTTTAATCATTTTTTAAATTGAACAATGTGACATTTTGAATAAATAAATAAATACATACATACATAAATACATACTGTATCTGCCAGTGGAAAAAACTGTTTTAGTATGATATATAAAAATAATTTCCACCAAATCAAAAACAAAATTTAGTGAATAAATTTAGTTGTTTACATAAAAATAAATAAATAAATTATACATTTAAATTGTAATAATAAATTAGTAGATACTATTTCCAAAACACTTTGGCATCACATCCAAATAGTTGGAGTGTGACGGCACTGCGGGAACAGATCCTGCATCAGATAAATCAATTGATTGCTGTCGATCAGTGGTTGAGGCTGTTTTCTCCTCTGGGCAGAGCGGAGGCTGTATGATCCACCTGTCCTGACACACATGCATACATGCAAACCCATCAAAGCTCATACAGCCCATCCCACACTCCTGTCCCACCAGTGAACAGGAGAAGCCATGGACTGAAACAAGAGCTCTGGCAAGAGGAGCTCACCTACCATAGCAATATATCCTAGCACTCTCTCGCTCTCTCTCTGTGGAATAACCATTCAGTGGCCTTTAATTAGAGCAGTAACTGAAACAAATGAATGAGACAAGACGTGCATATCCTATGATCATCTAACTTGAGCTTCATAGTGAATTAAAACTGATTTGCATCATCTTAAATACAAAAACAACTGGTTTTAGGGATAACTGACGCCCTCAATCCAGAGCAGGTCTAGCATGTTTTTTCAGGGGAAGCTGTTTGAGGAAAACTTGTTTTGCTAGATAAGCTAATAAGGCGTCCTGGCCCCTTGGTGTAGTTGGGTTAAGGCACGGGTGTGTCACGTTTTGAACTCGATAGAGACAACTAAAGATGATTTACCCATTCAGTGATGACTTAGATTGTAACTTCGGGCAGGACGTGGGGATACGCCACCTCCATGGTTACCGGATAGGGGGCGTCCTTTCTTCCGTCGGCATGAAACTAGAAAATGTGCTTTTTATTTGCAGTTGGATGGGGAAGTGGATTACACTTCTCTTGAGATGTTTGAGGGATTTTCTTTGGATATAAAGAGAGTCACGATGGAGGTGACTGATGATTATTTCTTTGCATCCTTCCAGTCAACTTTAGCTATGGTATTAATGAGAAGTGGCGGCTACCATGTTGTTCTTACCATGTACTGCAATGTGTTACTTTTTAATGCAGTTTCATTTGAAGCTTAATTAGACAGTTAAACATTGGAGAGAATGCTGACAGGTATTAACCAATCAAGACAATCAATTTATAATGTGACTCATCCCTAGTTACTTTTAAAACTTTTTTTTTCCAACTCTTGAATAATAATGTCTATAAATCACACACTACCATTCAAAAAATTTGGGGTCAATAGGATTTAAAAAAAAAAAAAAAAACTTTTATTCAGCAAGGCCACATTAAATTGATCAAAAATAACAGTAAAGACATTTAAAACGTTACATTTCAAATAAGTGCTGATCTTTTGAACTTTCTATTAAAGACCCCTGAAAAAATGTGTCATGATTTCCACAATAATATTAAGCAGCACAACATTTTTAAACACTGATAAGAAATGTTTCTTGAGCAGCAAATCAGCAGATTCGAATGATTTCTGAAGGATCATGTGACACTGAAGACTGGAGACTAACGATGCTGAACATTCAGCTTTACCATCACAGGAATAAATTACATTTAAAACATATTAAAATTGAAAACCATTCATTTAAATTTTAATAATATTTCACAATATTTCCGTTTTTAATGTATTTTTTATCAAATAAGTACAGCCTTGGTGAGCATAAGAGACTTCTTTTAAAAAACATTTTAAAATATCCTACTGACCCTAAACTTTCAAACAGTAGTATTTATATTTTATAAAGGTAAATAGTATACAAGTACATATATTTTATTTTGCAGGCATTGAAATGTATACACTTAACATAATTTTAGATGTTATACACAATATAGCTCTGTTTCAAAACCTAGCTTCTTTCTAAGGCAGTATTTTAACTGAAATGGAACCTAAGTAAGTGTCAGTTGCAGCAAACTGCAAAGCTTTGAGGAAGGACACTAAGACGACAAGACAGGAACAAGGTCTATAGCATAAAACTGGAGTGGACAGAGGGACAAAGGGAATACATGGGAATAGAGCAGTGGGTCACCACACATATTTTCTGTGAATAAAGTAAACTTTCATTGTATACATTTTAAATCTGGAAAGTGCCGTGGATAGACGTCAAAACTGCAGTGACTGGTTGGACAGATCCAGCTTTTTTGGTGTACTAGCATGGTCCATGTGTTGTCTTAAAACGATAGTTAACCCAAAAATGAAATTCTGTCATCATTTAATCACCCTCGTGTCATTCCAAACCTGCTTGACTTTCTTTCTTCCGTGGAACACAAAAGAAGATATTTTGAAGAATGCTGGCAACCAAAGAGTTTCGTTTTTTCCATTGACTTGTGTTATATTTTTTGGCCATAGTCAATGGTAACCGAAACTCTTTGGTTGCCAACATTCTTTAAAATATCTGACAACCAAAGAGTTTCGGTTCCCATTGACTATGGCCAAAAAATATAACACAAGTCAATGGAAACCAAAACGGTTTGCTCACCAACATTCTTCAAAATGTCTTATTTTTGTGTTCCACAGATGAAAGAAAGTATACATGTTTGGAACAACACATGAGGGTGAATAAATGACATTTTTGAACTGACCTGTTCCTTTAAGTCAAGTCAAAATCTCTTGAGTGAAGAATATTCAGCTACCACTTCACTTATCTGACCTTTCAGTTCTAGTTTATATATGCTCTATTTCATTCCAAAACATGTGTCAAGTCACAGACCCTCCCTGAGGGTTTAGGTCTGTGTGTGTGGAGTGAGACGGAGAGAGAGAGAGAGACAGAGGGTGTTTTGGCTGCTAGCCAGAGCCGGGCTCTTTTACTCAAGCGGATATCGATCTGTGGAGCAGTAGCTCTGAGCTGATGGTATTAAAGAGGCCTGACTGTCCACATTTTGTCCCCCCTCCCCTTCTTGTCTTGAGAGATTCCTTGTTTCATGGCATGCATTTCATTTTCAGGAGTGTTTTCTCTGCGATGATGAGCTCCAAGTCTCTAAGCGGCCGGAAGAGACAATCAATTTTGGCGTCCTGTATTGTATGAAGGTCATGGAGTGTTTGAAAGGATTTGGAGAATTTATCTCATTCTTGATCTCATACGGGCATATTATATTTCTGCAGACGACTCTAGTTGAAACAATATACACCCACAGATGTGAATTCCATTAATGGACTATTATTATTTGTAAGTGACCTTTTTTGTTAGTGGACATATTTTTATATTAGTTGACATATTATTATATTCTTTAAAAGGACATTACTCACCCTCATGTTGTTCCAAGCCCGTATAACTTTCTTCTGTAGCTGTATCTCTAAAAACCTTTCTCTTCATCATTTTTGTCAAAACAAATTCAAATATGAAACTTAACAATATAATGCAAAATGGACCACTTTTATGATACTTTTGTGGTGCACCAAAAGAAGAAAGTAAGTCATACAGGTTTGGAACGACATGAGTGTGAGTAAATGATGACAGAACTTACATTTTGGGCTGAACTATCCCTTTAAATGGACCATACTGTATCAAAATGAGTTTGATTTCACTATGATGATGATGGTAGGAAGGGCCAGGATTGGTCAGTACAGTTTGATTGACAGGAGAACAGCACAATGAAAGGACAGCTGCTGTCCTTTGGGCGGAGTTGTGGGGTTGTAAGTCTTACCTCACAGTCGGGCTCCTCTTTGGTCTTACACTCCCAGGTGTATCTGCTCATGGTTTTCTGAGGGGTGGGGGCATTAAGAGGATTATATACCTCATAAATAATAATAATTTCCATTCAGAACGAGACAGAGATAGAGAAGACAGAAAGAAAGAGACAGGGAAGGGCAGACAAAAGGGTAGGAAAAGGGCCCTTTGCATAAGATCCTTCAGTGGTGAGAAGTTTTTTTTAAATTTTTTTAGAGTTTTTTTTGTTGTTGTTGCTTTACTAAAGCATCAACATTGTGGGTGTACATCTAGGGCCCTTTAAGGTCATTAGGTTTTTGGCTCTGAGGCAAAAAATATATTTACTGTGCGCTAGACATAAAGTGATAGTTAATACAAAAATGAAAATTCTGTCATTATTTACTCACCCTAATGTTGTTTCAAATATCCTGTTTTAGTAAAATTTTCTAAAGTTTGGTCTGTTCATCACAAAGATGTCAATCATATGGTTTAAAAAGATCTGAAATTTAGCACACAAGACAGATGGACTATTTTTAAGACAAAAAAATTATAGATACATATATATATATATATATACATATATACAAACCCAATTCCAAAAAAGTTGGGACACTGTACAAATTGTGAGTAAAAAAGGAATGGAATAATTTACAAATCTCATAAACTTATATTTTATTCACAATAGAATATAGATAACATATCAAATGTTGAAAGTGAGACATTTTGAAATGTCATGCCAAATATTGGCTCTTGAGTTCAGCTCATGAAAAATGGGGGCAAAATTGCGTTTATTGCGTTTATAATTTTGTATATATATATATATATATATATATATATATATATGTGTGTGTTTTTTTTTTTCTTTCATTTTTAGCAAAGAGTGACTATTTAATAACAAGAATTTATATATGCACTGTAAATAAATTCTTTTCTTTTCTTTTTTTCTTTTTTGGAAAAGAGATATATAAAAATTCTCAAAGATTTCTCCTTTTGTGTTCCATGGAATAAATATGATATATGGTGAGTAAAAAGTGACAGAACGTTACTTTATGTGGGTGTACTAACTCTTTAAAAATGTGACCTTGAGTTGCACTACTATATATAGAATTTAATCAAAATTCTCAGGGGAAAAAAAAGTCCTGAGCTCAGGTCTTAAAGACATTGAATTCATGTCCTTTTTGCCCAAAAGTGTTTTAAAAAATTACAAAAAAGTAGAGATATGATTTGGTTTTACTTTGATCTGACTGATACATCCAAGCTGGAATTGACGGCAACTATAAATGCATAGATGGTTATATTTAATGTAGATGTTATACATATTGAGAGTTTTTGAGACTGTTAATCCACCGGCTGGCCTGTAGTAAACATATGACCGAGGGGCTCAAAAATGCATATCTTATGAACGAAATATCTATTCTATTTGGAAAAAATACTGTATTTTCCATTGCTTTCCATTGCAATCCTGTATTTTCAGAATAATTGAAACGAGAATAAAGCTGTGTTATGGTTATCCCACAGAAGAGAAAACGACGCCCGTGTTAGATCTACATCTACCCATGCGGCGGACATGTTAGCCAAGTGTTACGCCACCCATGGGCAGCAGTGAGACGTTGCATCTCAGATGTTTATCCTGCATTTTTGCTCAACACGCCATTGGTTGGTGAGATCTGGCACAGAGAGAGCCCACTCACCCTCTCATCTTTCTGAACCAGGATAAACGAGTGAAACGACAGACAGTTATATTGATGCGATGCAATGGACAAGCAGCAGCAGATCACAGGACCACTAGCAGGCCCGTGTGAAGAGTCAGACATGCAGCGGTGCAGAGGAAGAGAGAAGGGGAGCGGGGTGATGGGGTGAAGGAGGGGGGCTCTCTCAGCGGAGTCCAACGTCTGCAATGAGGGCACAATGCTGGACCCAGAGATGCTGCCATTAACTCACCCATAAAAATCTGTCATTGTGTGATCTCTCATCATGTTTGCTGTAAACAGTGACCACACAAAGAGTGGATTTCCTTCCCTTTCTAGATCTTACAAAGTTTGTTACATTATATATTATCTTTCCTTCAAGTCAGAAAACATCTAATCTGAACACTCTCTATTCCAGTGAAACAAAAACTCACAAAATGCAATGCAACCACCTACGCCACTATTATTGATACACCTAATTACTAATTTTAACCTAATTACTTTTTTTAATTTGATCAATTAAAAATTTATAAATGAAAAACAAAAAATGATTTAGTAATTTAATTAATAAATTGAGTTATTTAATAAAAAGAATGTCTGTAGTTCTATTTTTTGACAAAATCAATCAATAAATTAAATTAGAATACAATTATGTATTAATCAATGTAATTAATATTAATTTGTTAATACGCTTAATTAAATTCTAATTTTACAAATTCAATCACTTATATATTAATAAATGAAACTGTATAATAAATACAATTTAATAAAATAATAATAATTAAAAAAACAATAATTACATTTCTGCTATCCTAATTTAATGTCTCTAGTTCTTTTTTTTTTTTTTTTACAAAATCAATCAATAAAACAATCACTAAAATTTAAAATTATGCATTAATCATTGTAATGAATATTAATATTTAGGTATAAATTATTATTACATTTTTAATACTTTTAGTTAAATTCAAATGTATTTTTTAAAAATTCAATCAAATTACCAAATTAAGCTAAATATAATTAAAAATTAATCAAATAAAATAATAATTACATTTCTGTTATTCTTTTTTATTTAAAAAAATTAAATCAACACAAAAAAATTATAAATTAAAAATAATTTAAAAATGACTATTTAATAAAAAAAATAAAATTAATGCAAATTTTTCAGTCATTTTCAAAACATACCTGTAATTATTAACACGTAAAGTAAGTAATATTCCTTGGAACCATAACATATCACTTTAAATAATAAATAATAAAATAATTTAAATAAAAAATAAATAAAAAACATCTACATACACCATCATTATAGATTTAATGACAAACAAATGCAATTCTAATTTATTTTTAAAAAACTCAACCAAATAAAATTATTTAATACAAAATTTAATTAAAATAATTAAGAATTCAATAAAAAAAGTAAAAAATCATTTTATAGACTCAAACTCGCAACCTCTCATACATAAAACAAGAAATATTCCTCTGAACGGTAACATGTATATAGGTATATATATAGGTAGAGGTACAGAATCTACTAAACTATTTTATCTATGTTGTTTTGAAATTTACAATGAAGCTTCAATAAGTTTTTATGTTTAAAGGATTAGTTCACTTCCAGAATAAACATTTCCTGATAATTTACTCCCCCCATGTCATCCGAGATGCTCATGTCTTTCTGTCTTCAGTCGCAAAGAAATTAAGGTTTTTGAGGTAAACATAATAGGATTTTTCTCCATATAGTGGACTTCAATGGGAACCAACGGGCTCACGCGTGATGTAGGCGGAAGCACCGACCCAGCGTTTACAAAGCGAACGTGCAAAGAAAGTCAAACGGCCTTTAAAAAAAGGTAAAACAACGATGTTGGTCAATTTTGAAGTTGGAGGAGAAAATGAGATGGAGTTTTTTGCCCTACCCTACCTTTTTGAACCAGAGTACACAGACGAAGAGCTGACCGCATTTGACCTTTCCAATGTGATTACATAATATGTGAAGACACGCATGCGCAAGTAGAGCTAGAGCAAGACAAGTATTTGTGGTTAAAATGTATATAAATGTTTATTGTTTTAAGAAAATGACCGATGGTTTGGCTAGATAAGACCCTTATTCCTCAGCTGAGATCGTGTAGAGCCCTTTGAAGCTGCATTGAAACTGCAATTTGGACCTTCAACCGTTTGGTAACTGTTGAAGTCCACTACATGGACAAAAATCCTGGGATGTTTTCCTCAAAAAACTTAATTTCTTTTCGACTGAAGAAAGAAAGACATGAACATCTTGGATGACATGTGGGTGAGTAAATCATCAGGAAGTTTTTATTCTGGAAGTGAACTAATCCTTTAA